TTCCACAGTTCTTGTATATGTTGTTCTGTTTTATTTCTGTCTTTTATATCTTTTTGCTATTTGGTTTTGGAAGTTTCTGTTGACATTTCCCTCACCACAGAGATTTTTTTCACAGACATGCCATCTACTAATAAGCCCATCAATGTCAATCCTCATTTCTGTTGCAGTGTTTTTGATCATTAATATTTCTGTTTTTTTTTCTCAATTAGGATTTCTATCTCTCTTCTTACATAACCTGTTTGTTCTGACATGTTTTCTGCTTTTTAAAAACTATAGTCCTAGCCTATCAATCATAGTTACTTTACATTCCTGGTCTGTAATTCTAACATCCTTGTCATACCTGAATCTGGTTCAGATTCTTGCTCTGTCTCTTCAAAATATGCGGTGTTGTTGATTTGCCTTTTAGTATACCTTGTGATTTTTTGTTAAATGTCAGACATGGTGTACTGGGTGAAAAGAACTCTGATAAACAGTCCTTTAGTAGGTAGTGGTAAAATGTGGTGTGGGGAAGTAGCCTTACAGTCTTACAATTACTATCACTATTATAATTAGTCTGTGCACCTGGCCTGTGAATTTCACAAGTGCTCTTTAGCACCATCCACAAACTTAAGTGGAGCAGAATAGCTAGAGAAAGCTTCAGTTGGTTATTTCACTTCCTCCAGGTTGATTAGGCACTGAGAAATCCCCAATAGGTTAGGCTATGGTAAAATAGTTTTTCTTTTCTTTTCTTTTCTTTTTTTAATGTAGGCCTTGTTAAGAAGAACAGAATGCTTTAACACATTTTAAAATATACTTTTTCTTTGACTTACCATATGTTTGCATCCCAATAAACCCATCATAATTTGAAAATATCATAAGTCAAAAATGTATTTAATACACCTAAGCTATTGAACATCATAGCTTAATCTAGCCTAATTTAGAAATGCTCAGAACACATTAGCTTATAGTTGGGCAAACTAATCTAAAACAAAGCCCATTTTATAAAAATTGTTGACTATTTCATGTAGCTTATTGAATAGTATATTTAATGTGAAAAACAGAATGGTTACATGGTACAGAATGATTGTAAGTATATTGGTCATTTATCCTAGTTACGTATTTGACTGGTTGTTGTGGCTTATCTCTTCTGCCCAGCATCACAAGAGAGTATTGTACTGCATATTGCTAGCCTGGAAAAAGACTAAAATTCATAATTTGAAGTATGATTTCTAATGAACATATATTGCTTTTACACCATTGTGAAGTTGAAAATCTTAAGTCAAACCATCATAAATTGGGGATTATCTGTAGTCACTTTTTTCCTGCCCTTGTCTGACATGGATGAGGGGCTCTTCCCCCATATTCACAGTGAGAACTTGATAGACTTCCTGGAGGTAGAACTCATAAAAGTATGGGGATCCCTTTATGACTGAAAACCCTTCGTGTAGTTTTTTTTTAAATTAATTTATTTATTTGACAGAGAGAGAGACAGCAAGAGAGGGAACACAAGCAGGGGGAGTGGGAGAGGGAGAAGCAGGCTTCCCGCTGAGCAGGGAGCCCGATGCAGGGCTCGATCCCAGGACCCTGGGATCATGACCTGAGCCGAAGGCAGAGGCTTTGACCCACTGAGCCACCCAGGTGCCCTCTTCCTGTAGTTTTTAAGTTTAAGACTTTCCACACTGAGCCTTCAGCAATTTGTCAATTATACTTTATATTTTGTTTTGGTTTTTAACCTCAGTACTGATTCCCACAGAGGTTTCTGCTCCAGTAAGTTATGATTCTCTATATTCACCTGCTTATCTCTCCAATCCTGGGGTCAGTGGTTTGCCCTATGACCTCGTTTATCTGGCATATCTAGGAAAATTTGTTAATTTATTAATTTTTTAGCTTTTTCTTTGTGTTAAGATAAAATAAAACTCCAAGCTTCTTACATGCAAGAGCAGAAACTAAACCTCAAATATATATATTTTTATTTCTCTTTAGATTTCCTCTTTGACCTGTGGATTATTTAGAGATGTGTTGTGTAACTCCCAAGCATTTGGAGATCTTCTTGTTATCTTTCTATTATTAACTTGTACTTTGGTTCAACTATGGTCAGAAACATATGCTGTATGATTTCATTTTTTCAATTAACTGATGTTTGTTTAATGGTCCAGGATGCATTTTAACTTGATAGGTGTTCCCTGGGCACTTAAAAGAAATGTGTATACTACTGTTGTTTGGTTGTGTGCTCTAAAAATGTCCATTAGATCCTATTGATTGAAGGTAGTTTTATCTTTGCTTGCATAAATAGCTGTACATGATTAATGTATACAACCTGATGGGTCTGAAGATAAGTATACACCCATGAAACCATCCCCACAATCTATGTCATAAACCTGCACATCATTACCAACTTTCCTCTTATTTTTAAATTATTATTGTTATGTATTATTATTATTATTATTATGTGATAACATTCCATAATATCTACAATTTTGGAAATTTTTTTAAGTATACAATATAGTATTTTTGACTATAGGCAACATGCTATGCAGTGGATCTCTAGAATTTGTTCATCTTGTGTAACTGAAACGTTGTATGCTTTGACTAATTCCTCCCCATTTCCCCCTACCCTCATCCCTATTCTACTCTCCATTTCTATGAATTAAAAATCAGTAGTATTACGTAGCATTTGTCCTTCTGTGTCTGGTTTATTTTCCTTAGCATAATAACCTCCAGTTTCATCCATGTTGTTGCAAGGCTTTTAAGGCTGAATGATATTCAATTGTATGTATATTCTCCATTTTCTTTATCCTTTCATCTCTTGATGGGCATTAGGTGTTTCCATATTGCATATTGTGAATAATGCTTCAGTGAATATGGGAATGAAGATATCTTTTTGAGATAGTGACTTACTCTGGATAGTATATATCCAGAGGTGGGATTGATGAATCACATGGCAGTTCTATTTTTAGGTTTTTTTTTTTTTTTTGGAACTTCAATACGGTTTTTCCATACTGACTGCACCAATTTACATTCCTATCAATAGTGTTTAAGGGTTCCCATTTTACCACATCCTCTCCAACAGTTGTTATCTTGTATTTAATTGCTAATAGTCATCCTAGTAGGTATGAGGTGATATCTTATTATTCTTTTGATTTGCATTTCCCTGATGATTAATGATGTTGCATACCTTCTCATGTATTTGTTGGCCATTTGTATGTCTTCTCTGGAAAAATGTCTATTCAGTTCCTTTGCCTATTTTAAAATCAAATCATAATCTATCTATCTATCATCTATCTATAAGTCATTTGTATTATGACAAAATTACACAAGATGATGAAAGTCTAGGTTTATATTTATATGCATAGATAAGTTTTGTTTATGCATTCACTTGATGGACACTTGTTTTTATTTCCCACTTTGATTATTATGAACAATGCTGTTATGAACATTCATATATAAAGTTTTTTAAAGTTTTTTTTAAAATTCCAGTTCGATAACATACAGTGTAATATTACTTTCAGGTGTACAATTTAGTGATTCAACACTTACATACAACCTGATGCTCATCACAAGTGTACTCCTTAATCCCCAGCACCTATTTAAGCCATCCGCCCAATCACCTTCCTTGAAACTATTAGTTTATTTTCTATAGTTAAGAATCTGTTTCTTGGTTTCTTTTTCTCTCTCTCCTTTCCCTATGCTCATTTGTTTCATCAAAATAAAAAGCTTCTGCACAGTGAAGGAAACAATCAACAAAACTAAAAGTCAACCTAAGGAAAAGGAGAAGATACTGGCAAATGAAATATCGGATGAAGGCTTACTATCCAAAATCTACAAAGAATTTATCAAATTCAACATCCCCAAATGAATAATCCAATCAAAAATGGTCAGAAGACCATTTCAAAAGAAGACACTCAGATGGCCCACAGGCACATGAAAAGATGCTCACCATCACTGATCATCAGGGAAATACCAGAACTACAATGAGCTATCACCTCACACCTGTTAAAATGGCTAAAATTAACAACATAAAAAACAACAGGTGTTGGCAAGCATGTGGAGAGAGGAGAACCTTCTTGCACTGTTTATGGAATGCAAACTGGTACAGCCACTATGGAAAACAATATGGAGGTTCCTCAAAAAGTTAAAAATAGAACTACCCTATGACCCAGCAGTTGCATTACTATGTATTTACCTGAAGAATACAAAAATACTCATTCAAAGGGATAGATGCAGGCCAATGTTCATAACAGCATTATCAATAATAGCTAAATTATGAAACTAGGCCAAGTGTCCATTGACTGATGAATGGATTATTACTCAGTCATAGAAAAGAATGAAATCTTACCATTTGCAGTGATGTCAATGGAGCTGCGGAGTATTATGCTAAGTGAAATACGTCAGAGAATGAGAAATACCATATGATTTCGCTCATATATGGAATTTAAGAAACAAAACAAACAAGCATGTGTAAGTTTTTGACTATACATACATTTCATTTCTTTTGAGTATATAACTTAGAGTGTAATTGCTGGTACTATGATAACTTTATGTTAAAAATTTTGAGGATTATTTTCCAATGTGGTTAAAACATTTTACATTTCCACCAGAAGTGTATAATGGTTCCAATTTATCCACATCCTGGTCAACACCTATTATCATTTGTCTTTTTTATTATAGACATCATATTGGCTATTAAGTGGTATCTCATTATGGTTTTGATTACCATAATTATAAATGATGAACATTTTTGTGTATTTATTGACCTTTGGATAAATGTGCATTCAAATTCTTTGCCCATTTTTAATTTCATTATTTGTCTTTTTATTATTAAGATGTAACAGTTAATATTTATATACCCTGAATAGAAGTTCCTTATCAGATATGTGATTTGAGCATATTTCCTTCTATTCTGTGGATTATCTTTTTCACTTTATTGATGTTCTTGTTTACAGTACCTCATGCAATTTTTTTAAAGCTTTAATTTATGACAGTCTTCAACCACAGCATGAAAATTATTGAAAATGTCTTACCCGAACTATTTCACAGTCAACATTTAATTCAGTTGCAACTGCTTCAATTTTCTCTCTACAAACAGAACCAAGGCTGGTCATTCCATTGTCCCAGTACTTCTTAAGTGTGGCTAAGTCTTGGTCACTGAACTGAGTGCGATCTTGTAGCTGTTAAAACAGATTTAAAATAATTAGAGTAATAAAAGAAAAGAATTTTATAGAAAGGACCATCTGGGTGATATTTGCTAGGTTACTTTCAACACATAACAGTAGCTAAATTAATTTCACAGTTTTTTAAATTAATTTATTTGAAAGAGAGGGAGTGGCGGGGGGTAGGGGTAAAAGGAGAGGGAGAGAGATTCTTAAGCAGGCTCCATGCTCAGCATAGAGCCTTAGGACCCTAAGATCACAATCTGAGCTGAAACCAGTAATTGGAGGCTTAACGGGCTGTGACACCCAGGCACCTCTGATTTCACAGTTCTTAATATGTGTTACCCCATTTTGAAATGGGCCTGTCTGTGATATTTATTTCCATAACATGAAAGTGTGCTAGAATAAAATGAGTAAAGAATGTTTAACTGTTAGAAATTAAGTAGTATTTATTTTAAATTGTTGCAATCACTTAAATAATGCATTGCCATTGCAGAAAATACAGATAAATTAAAATAAAAGATTTTATATCATCCACAATTCTGGGAAATAGCACTTGTTAACATTATAATGTGTATTTTTCAAGCTTTTTTTTCTATGATACACATATTCACATTCACACTACATACATTTTAAAAATAACAGCATCACATCACTGTGTTGTTTTTAGATAAATTAATCTAGATTTGCCATACATATGTTTTGTACTAATGTTATAATTAAAAGTGTAAATAAAAAGTGTAAGAAGATAATGTAGACTTAAAAATCAGATTTATGGCTTCAGAAAGTTTCATAATAACCCTATCCTTTTTTTCTTAGATTTTTTTTAGTCCAATAAACTATGGTCGTTTATATTTTTTTAATTCAATAAATCCTGGAGGCACCCCTAGGAAGTAAATCAGAAGAAGCATGATAGAATAATGACTTCCAGTTTTCCAATAGGGAGTCAGAAAATCAAGGTCAGAGGACTCATTCAACAGGGCACAAAATGTACATGGCAGAGCTAGAAATAGAAATCTGATTTTTTCCCTAGTACCTTCATCCCTATGATGTCTCCAATGATCTCAAAGGGTAGTAAAAACAACCTGAAAATAAATTTTAACTAAAAATATATATCCTGTATATGTATCCTGTATGTGTATGCATGTTTTTGTGATGAAAGAATAATGAGAGAGCAAAAGAGTGATAGAGAGAAAACCAGTGAGATTGAGTTGAGGAGAAATGTTGCAAATCATGGAATGAGGCTCTGTTGCTGCCCTTGTTTTAGGCTACACCTCAAATACTTTGTAGATATATACTGATTTCTTTCTTTCATTTTTTTAAAACTTTATTTATTTATTTGAGAGAGAGAGAGAGCAGAAGCAGGGGGAGGGAGAAGCAGACTCCCCAGTGAGCAGGGAGACCAAGGTGGGGCTAGATCCCAGGACCCTGAGATCATGACTTAGCTGAAGGAAGATGCTTAACCACTGAGTCACCAGACACCCAACAACATGATTTCAACGTTCGCTTTCTAACTGAAATTTAAAATGGAACCCTCTCTTAAATTGATTTGAATAACAATGGAAAATAATCTATACAATGTATAAAATAGGACTTAAAAGAGTTATCATAGCTAAAACTGATATAATACTAACCAACAAGTGCAAATTTGTTTTAAAGCTACAACCTTGCATTTGATAAAAAATAGCCAAACTCTCAGAAAGGTTTAAAATGGGCTATAGTCCCTCCTCCTTAATGATAAATTCCTAATCTAAACACCAAAGGCAACTGCTGTCAGTAATTTCCAGAGTAACTTTACAAAATAAAAATACATATACATTTACAAAAAAGGGATACTACTATAAACTTAATTTTTTTTACTTAAGTTGATCTTAGAGATATTTCTATATCATCATATACAGATACACTGCTTCAATCTTTTTAGCTGCTAAATTGTGCTCCATGGACTACATCAAAATAAAAAGCTTCTGGACTGCAAAAGAAATAAGCAACAAAACTAAAAGACAACCTACTGAATGGGAAAAGATATTTGCAAATGACATATCCAATAAAGGGCTAGTATCTAGAATATATAAAGAACTTATACAGCTCAACACCAGAAAAACCTCAAATAATCGACTTAAAAAAATGGGCACAGGACATGAACAGATTTTTCTCCAAAGTAGACATACAGATGGCTAATGGACATAAGATAATATATAATGCTCAATATCACTCATCATCAGGGAAGCACAAATCAAAACTACAATGAAACATCCCCTCGCACCCTGTCAGAAAGGCTAAAATTAACAACAAAAGAAACAACAGGTGTTGGTGAGGATGGGGAGAAAGGGGAACTGTCTTACACTGTTGGTGGGAATGCAAGCTGGTGCAGCCACTCTAGAAAAGAGTACAGAGGTTCCCCATAAAGTTAAAAATAATCACCCTGCTCTTGATTTTGCCTCAGGTCTCAGGGTTGTGGGATTGAGCCCTGTGTCAGGCTTTCTACTCAGCAGGGAGTCTGCTTCTCTCCCTCTCCTTCTGTCTGCCCTTCTGCTCTTTCTAAAACAAATAAATAAATCTCTAAAAAACAATGAGATATCACCTCATACCTGTCAAAATGGCTAAAATCAAAAACACAAAAAAACAAGTGTTGAGGATATGGGAAAAAAGAAACACTCACGCACTGTTGGTAAGAATGCAAACTGTTATGGTCAATGTGGAAAACAGTATGGAGGTTTTCAAAAGATTAAAAATAGAATTATCCACTAATTCCACTACTGGGTATTTACCTAAAGAATACAGAAACATTATCCGAAAAAGATATATGCATCCTTATTTTAATTACAGCATTATTTACAATGGTCAAATTATGGAAGCAACCCTAGTGTCCATTGATAGATGAATAGGTAAAGATGTGAGATTGTGTGTATGTGTGTGTGTGTGTGTGTGTGTATAGAGAGAGATAATGGGCACTCAACAATTTAGAATTGTCTAATGATAGAACTTTAGGTGGTTTTCAGGTTATTGCTAATACAAACAATGCTTAAATGGACATTCTTGTACATAGATCTTGCTTTATATTTGCAATTTATATATTATGGGAAATTCCTAGCCTTGTGTTTTGATCACCTCCACTTCTTCTCACTGGTGAAGAAGGGATTCCTGCCCTAGATGGGGATAGCCAACCAAAACCTCCCAACACCAGACAGATAAAATCAACAGGAGTGTATCGGTTAGGTATACTCATAGCCTGGAAGAGGAGAACACCATATGCCACACAGGGACACATAGATATTCCATTAGGGAACAGAATGAACAAGCAAAGGCTGTACTGTAACCTCTGAGAGTGGTGAAACCCCATTTCCCACAGGAGATGTGACTGGCCTGTTTGAACTGAAGGCTTCCATTCAGAAAAAATCAGGCATTCTGCTTAGTCCCTGAGATAAAGTTAGTTATTTGAATATGGTACTTTATCTGCACGAACAGGATGAGAAGGGGAACTTGTGGTTGGCCATCCTTTGGGTCTCTCTTGGCTTTCCTCAGATGTCAAAATGCACGTAATATGGCACTTTAACATCAGGTCTTGTAATTTTTAAAGGATTTTATTTATTTATTTGATAGAGAGACACAGAAGTAGACAGAGCAGCAGAGAGAGGGGCAGGAGAAGCAGGCTCCCTGCTAAGCAGAGAGCCCGATGTGAGGCTCAATCCCAGGACCCTGACCTGAGCCAAAGGCAGACACTTAACTGAGTCACCCAGGCACCGCTTATTTGAATATATTTGAGACACAGTGTTACATTAGTTTCAGGTGTACAACATTGTGATTCAACTTCTCCACACATTATGCTATGCTCACTACAAGAGTAGCTACCATCTGTCACCATGCAATGCTATTACAGTATCATTGAATATATTTCCTATCCTTTTATTCCCATGATTTATACATTCCATAACTGGAAGCCTGTATCTCCCACTCCCCTTCACTCATTTTGCCCATCCCCTACCCCTCTTCCTCTGACCATCAGTTTGTTCTCTATATTTATAGATCTGATTCTGCTTTTAGATTGTTTTTTAGATTCCACATAGGAGTGAAATCATATGGTACGTATCTTTCTGTCTGATTTATTTCACTTAGTATAATACCTTCTAAGTCAGTCCATGTAGGTCTTATACCACAAATTAGGATTAGCAGGCCAAAGATTATGTGCATTTAAATTTTTATAAATCTAGCCAAATTGCCCTTGGACAAGGGCTGAAATATAGAATAGTCCTTATGGTCCTATATCTTTGTAAGTGATAGATATTGTCCAATTTTATAATTTTTTGCCAGTTTAGTGAAAAATGGTATCTTATTGTTTTGATTTGTAGGTCTTTAAGAACACTTATTTTTATATGCTTACTAGCCTTATGTATTTATTTTTCTAAGAAATACTTATTTAATGGATCATACTTTTCTTTCTTCTTTACTGTTTTTTAAAGTTCATAGACCTCTGTGCTAAACATGTTAGATATCATTTTTGCACATCACATTGAATACATTATCCATGATTAACAATGCACTACCTTTTAAATTATGTATATGACTTTCAGAAAATCTTATGCTCTATAGATCTGATTCCATTCAATTTAGTAATTAATTGATACATTCTCCACCCTTAGTGAAAGTGTTTGCTTATCTGTAAGAGGGTAAATATCATGTCCTTAAAAGAGTCCTCTTTTGTAACTGTTGGTGAAAATTTAATTTGATATTTTTTCCAAATCATGGTAAAATACACATAATGTAACATGTACCATTTTAATTACTTTTAAGTGTACAGTTCATTAGTAAGTATATTCATACCATTGTGCAACCAATCTCCAGAATTTTTTTATTCTCATTAAATAACAAATTCCCATTTTCCTCTTTCTTTAGCCACTGGAAACCACCATTTGATTTTCTGTTTCTATGAATTTGACTACTCTAGAAGCTCATATAAGTGGAGTAATACAGTATTTGTCTTTTTGTAACTACTTATTTCACTTAGCATAATGTCCTCAAGGTTCATCCTTAATATAGCATGTGTTAAATTTTTTCCCTTTCAGGAATAAATATTCAATGTTATGTATATAGCACATTTTTTACTTTTTTTTAAAAAAGATTTAAATTTATTTATTTGACAGACAGAGATCACAAGTAGGCAGAGAGGCAGGCAGAGAGAGAGAGAGGAGGAAGCAGGCTCCCTGCTGAGCAGAGAGCCTGATGTGGGGCTCGATCCCAGGACCCTGGGATCATGACTTGAGCTGAAGGCAGAGGCTTTAACCCACTGAGCCACCCAGGTGCCCCTATAGCACATTTTTTAAACCAGTGCATCTGTTGATGGACATTTGGGTTGCTTCCACATTTTGATTATTGTGAATAATGTTGCTATGAGCATTGGTATACAGATATCTGTTTGGGTCCCTCCTTTGAATTCTTTGGGGTATAAACGTAGAAGTGGAGTTGCTGGGTTATATGGTAATTCTATTTTAATGTTTTTTTTTAAAGATTTTATTTATTTATTTGACAGACAGATCACAAGTAGGCAGAGAGGCAGGCAGAGAGAGAGGAGGAAGCAGGCTCCCCACAGAGCAGAGAGCCTGATGCGGGGCTCGATCCCAGGACCCTGGGATCATGACCTGAGCTGAAGGCAGAGGCTTTAACCCACTGAGCCACCCAGGGGCCCCTATTTTAATGTTTTGAAGAATCATCATACTGTTTTTCATAGTGGCTGCATCATTTTATATAACCATCAATAGTGCATAAGTGTTCTATTCTCCACATGTTCACCAACACTTGTTAATTTCTGTTTTTTTTTTTAAATAATAACCATACTAATCAGTTCTGTGGTGATATTTCGTTGTGGTTTTGATTTGCATTTTTCGGATGACTAGTGGTATTAGCATCTTTTTATATACTGTTAGCCATTTATATATTTTTTGGCAAATTTATATTCAAGTCCTTTGTTCATTTTTAAATTAGGTTATTTCTTGCTGTTGTTTAGTTGTAAGAGTTCTTTATATATATATATTCCTTTTCAGATAA